GTGCTCTACTCGAGCCACACCCTTAGCGTTTTTGCTTTAGTTTATTTTACAGGTAGGGTCCTGTGGTTTTTGTCTGGGCTGACCTTTGATGGTGATCTTCAAACCTCCACCGCTCATACAGCTTGAATTACAGGTGTGTGTCACATTCCTGTCTTAAGTTTCTCTAAATTTATATTAAGAAATACATCTAGTGCTACAGTGGCTTAAGAAAGTTTAATTTCAAGAGTATGATTAATTTTAAGTTTTACTTAATTTAATCTTATGCTGGCATTGCTGTGGATCTAACATTCATTACATAAAAATCTTAATTTCAAAGAAAAAAAAAAAAAAGAAAATCCCTTCCTCACTGGGTTCTGAGGATGACATGAACTAATTTAGGATATTTGGCATGGTACTTGGTCCAGAATAATCACTCTGTAATTGCTGGCTTGGGATCTTAGCAGAAGGCATGGAATGTTTAGCCAATGGCAATTAAGGATAATTATTTTGAGACTTAATAATGTATTATGATTGTTTTTAAAAGAAATATTTCTCTTTGGGAGACTTTACTGATCTGTTTCTAGATAAAATGATAAAAGGGATTTATTTTCTTACAAATAATCAGGATAGGGATAGAGAGGTAGATAGGGACACAGATGACACAAGATGGCTGTGAGTTGACAGCTATTACAGGTGGGTAATAGGTGTGTGGATTAATTATACTCTTTATTTTTGTATGTTCTTGAAAATTCATGAATAGATTTCAACAGAGCTAAATGAAAAAAACTGACCCTCCTCTTTGATGATGGCTTACAGGTAATTTTCTATCCTATTGAGTGGCTGTGGATTTGGTGTGAGTGACATTAGGCTTGTCTACCCCTAGGTTTTCTTCAGATGTTCAACTGCAGTTTCTGCTACTGGTGCTAGGAAAGCCTGGTGTTATTAATTACAATAAATTATTAAAATTGCTCCTATAAATGTCAAACACTCCTTCCTGGCTTAAGAATCATTGTCCTAAAAAGTGGGTCTCAATCTTCAATGTGTATCAATGTCACCAGAGAAACTGTTAAAAAGCAGATCAGACACTGGGTGTGCTGGTGCATGCCTGTAATCCCTGCACTTGGGAGGCAGAGGCAGGAGGATGGGGAGTTCCAGGCAAGCCTGGGCAACTAGGTGAGACCCTGTCTCAAAACAAAGTAAAACAAAACAAAACAAAACAAAACAAAACAAAAGTAGATCACTGAGTCCTACTCCCAGTGTCTGACTCAGGAGCCCTGGGGTGGGGCTGAGAATTTACATTTCTCACAAGTTCCAAGATAATGCTGACACTGCCAGCCTGGGAAGCACACTTTGAGAACTTGTCCTAGAACTTCTATGAAAATGTGTGTGTCCTCTAGTTCCCTTGTCCTTTCTTTCATCCTGAGAAGAAAGCCCCCAGCACACTCACTCACCCCACAGGAAATGTCACAATCTAAGCTTCCTTTGATTTAAATTTCTCCCTTTGAGCTCTAGGATGCCTGACATAAACTTTTTCTGAAATTAATCATATTTTTAAAAAATATTTATTAAATTGAAGGTGGCATTTTGGCTCCATCTCCCCTAGAAATTATCAGGCTAATTTTGTCTCTCCTTCCTATTCTCTCCTTCTCTTCCTCTAATCAAATGGAAAAGAGGAAGTGTGTAATAATAAAAAGATGTTTTTAGCTGAGATGTATGCAATCTCACCTACTCAGGAGGCTGTGGCAGGAGGATAGTGAGTTTGAGGCCAGCCTCAGCAACTTATTGAGATTCTGATTAAAAATAAAATAATATTAAATAAGGGTTGGGTTGTAGCTCGGTGGTAAAGCACTTGCCTACGATATGAGAGGACCTCTCTGAGTTTCATTCCCAGTACCACAAGAAAAAAAAATTTATATGCCTTTTCCATTAGAGTATAATTTCCTAGAGGACAGTAACCTTTTCACTTTGTTGTACTTTTCCTTTTCTGCCATGTTATGGGCATCTACTTATTTCTATTTGAAAATAACAAGGCCTGATATTAACATTTATGTAATTCAAAGTCCTGCTAGCAGGTAGACATTCAGTTCATTTTGTCAAATGAATGAAATAGTTCAATCTTTGAATCTTAGAGCTAGAAGGCTCCCTAATGGTCATTACTCACTACCATTTTACACGAGACAACCTAGGTTTGTGGACCCTGGCAATGTATGAAAGGTCACCAAATCCACATTACAAGAGCCAGAATACTATAATACAGACTCTTGTCTCCTGGCCTGGCTTCTTCCTGAGTCTGGTATCCCTCTCACCTGTCTCAACAGGACCTAAGGTGAGACAGCATAAGTCCAAAGCTAGGGCTAAATGCTTAGAGAATGATCATAAAATTCTTAATCATGAAATGCATTTATTAGAGAAAAGTTTTGAATATAGTGTAATGTTTTAGATGCTTTGGGCTGTCTAGAGTTCCTTACAAGGTCTACAGAGAGGGGTTATCATTCCAGAAAAACTCAGGAAAAGCCAAGAAAACTCAGAAAAGCTAGAAGTTCTGAAGGGATTGGTTCTTTGGAACTGAACAGATCATCTTAATGGAGAAACATGTGCTCACCCCTGCCAAGCACAACATACACTGCATGACTATGTTCACTTCATTAACAAAGAAAGTTCTTGCACTGAGGTAGTCATCTGAGTCTGTTCTTCCTGCCTCAGGCTTCCTCCCAAGTTCTGGGATTACAAGCATGCACTACCACTACAAGCTAATTAAACAGATTTCACCATTCCAGAGTTCCAGCATATTCATCTGCTATCAAAGAGCTCAAAATGGATGTGAGGGCGATCTGGCTGCGACATCTGTCACCCCATTGATTGCCAGGGTTGATTCGGCTGATCTGGCTGGCTAGGCGGGTGTCCCCTTCCTCCCTCACCGCTCCATGTGCGTCCCTCCCGAAGCTGCGCGCTCGGTCGAAGAGGACGACCATCCCCGATAGAGGAGGACCGTTCTTCGGTCAAGGGTATACGAGTAGCTGCGCTCCCCTGCTAGAACCTCCAAACAAGCTCTCAAAGAGCTCAAAATGCCTGAGACATAACTACAACATCTATCATCTCCTTCAAAATCTTGTACTAACAGAAGTTCTTTTTTTCCTGCTTAATTTGTTTTGATTCTATTTTCAGAAAAAAACACATGCACTACTGAGACAAATTCACTAATAGGGCCTTTTGATTCCAGCAGATTTGGCATGTCTTTAAACCTGACAAATAAAAATGAGTAGTAAAAGCATTTTTAATAAATTTATAGAAAGTCACAAATGGTGATAAAAGACATGCCTAATGTTTCTCTTAATGCAAATATGCACGTCAAAGTTCCTAGCCTTTTGGCTTCATGCATGTGATGAGAATCTATTTCTAAAAGCTGAGGCAGGCCAGCAGCCACCTGGCCTTTGTCCTCATCCTATCTAGGGCTGTGGGCCACACAGAGTAGTTCTGCCAACAGAACTGATGACATTATTTGGTAGGCTAGGAAGAAGGAGAAAGAGGAGAAAAGTCTACCCAAGCAAATTTAAATAGGGCTGATCTTTCAGAAAAAAATATTCTGGGTAAGAAACTATTAGGAGGATGCTACCTTTCCTTACTTAGAGATTATTAGTGATGATGTTTTAAATGAGGCAGGACCTTTGAAACAATAATTTTTTTGAAATCCTTTTTACTGTGGCAATTTAAAATCAACCATGTAGGGCGGGGGATGTAGTTCAGTTGGTGTGCTCACTTAGCATGCATGAGGCCCTGGTTTCAGTCCCCAGCACTGCAAAATAATAATAATAATAATAATAATAATAATAACAAAATCTCATAAAACACACTATGTAATAAAAGGAAAAATAAAAAAGATTAACCAGCTGTCTTGAAAAAATTTTGAAAGCATTAGCTATATCAAGAGCCAAATCTTTAGCAGTATAATTTCATTGTTAGATTACTGCTGTTTCCAGGCCATCCATCTCAACTTATCCTCCAAATAAGATCTTTTAAAAATAATGCAAACGTTAGTGATTATGCTTCTCCAGTTTTAGCAAGATGACTCCCTTGTTGGGGTGTTGACAAAAGGTACTCCACAGGGGACAGAAAGCTGTTCTTACCGATTTGTCACCTATCAAGTTCAGGTGAGGTACCACTCCTGCTGGATTCAAGAGTCCAGTATCACCATCACTGAGAACACGGGTAATACTACTCCCTGTGTCACTATTCCCAAAGTAAAGCTATACTTCTGTGATTTTAATTAACATGCCCTTGAAATTCATTTGAAGAAAAAGCTATCCACAGATTAAAACAATTTCGGAATTACATGGCCAGATAAATATCAGTTATCTTTCTTCCGTATGTTAAGTCATTGCTATATACTTTTTTTTTTTTGGAGCACTTAACAATGTGTTAGAGAAAGGACATCAAATGATGCTTAGAAATGTGATACACATTTTCATTTCACACTCCATCAGCTTTTACAACTGTAGCTCAATGAAATGTAAGAGAGACCTTGGCAAACAGCCATATTTACCAAGGTATAAGATAGGGGTCAGGTTACTTTTTTATAGAAAGAAAATAATGTTTAATTTTCACTCTACATGACTAAAGTAGATATCCAGCTAATACCCTAGTGAAAAGCACCATACTACATATATGACATGGCTTAATGCCTGTTTAACTATATAGATTTTTACTTTATTATAAACAGCTATGTGGGCAAGAAAACATTCCATTCCTCACCCCTTCCACTCAGGATCTACCATGCACAAACATACTGGATCAGATCATGTTTGGTGTTAAGTCTCTTACCTGAAAATAATGGCTTTTACCCTGGAAGCAGAAATAGCTTATTCCCTTTAAAGGCAGAGAAGCGAAGCTACAGGCAACAGCAAAAATGCATCTTTCTAATTCAGATTTCAATCTGTCAGAAAGAATTAAAGCCTCAGCATACATAAAAAGAGAACTATAAATGATTACAGAAACATGGTCTGGAATCACTGCTTCCACAGCTGCTATTTTACTAGTAGGGTGAGAAGAAAGCATCTTCCACTTACCTGTGTTAAACCTGACACTTCTCCCTTTGCTAATGGTTTGCTGATGGATGGTGTGTATACCCTGGCATCCGATACTGGCTGCCCTTTCATAAAATGTTTTCCTGATTCATAAATGTCCACTTCGACCATTTTCCCCATGAATGGTGGGTTCTTTGGCACTAAAACCTTTAAAAAAATTCAGAAGGCTTAACTTTTAAAATAAACTTTATCTTAGAACAGTTTTTGACTTACAGATTTTATAACAAAGATAGTAGAGTTCTTGTATATCCCACACTCAGTTTCCCTTGTTACTAGTGTCTTACATTAGTATGCTCCATTAGTCATAATGAGTGAACCAAAACTGACATATCACTATTAACTTAAGTCCACACTTGATTCAGGCTTCTCAGTTGGTCTCCTAATGTCCTTTTCCTATTCTGGGACCCCATCAAAGTGGGCTCTATCTTCCAGCTGCTCAAGGATCTGGGGATTCTGTAGGACAGGCAGGTCTTCCTGGGAGGAGCGACCAGCTGTAGACAGAGCTCTTCCAGTGCCAGATGCCTTGTTGTCCAAAGGCATGTGGAAGGCAGACTGGGAAATCCCTAGCAATCAGCCAGCCACTTTTGGACAGGCCTTTGATATTCTGCTCTTGGCTGTCCTATGCAATGAAGAAAACTGAGACAATAGTGATGAAAACCATATACTTTTAATACCTTCCAAGTTATCTGTCAGAATAATGATCTGAGTAGACACTTCAAATGAAGGCCTGTGTGTGTGTGTGTGTGTATGTGTGTGTATGCACACACGTGTTTCTGGGAAAGATATTCAAAAGCAAACTTTCCATAGTACAATACGTTGGTGTTTAGCACTAAATCACTCCCCTGGTTGCCATTCATTTCTTTTGCTCTGGTAGAAAAGGCATGTGTTTTTTAGTCCTCTGAGCCTACCTTCATCTAGAACCAGCTAGTAGGAAGGGTATTTTTGCTGGTTCACAGGAAACTGTCAGATGGTCTCTTTCCAATAGTGATTACTGATAAAAGTACTGTTTACCTCGAGCAAACGTTTCCATCCACTGGGACTTCTAGGTAGTTTGTGAGCATTAAATTTCCCTCACACTTCTTATTTTATTACTGTAGCTACTTGCCAATCTCTTCAAGTTAGGATCCAAAATAAATAGACCAATTCTAATCCAGCAATACTTTGATATTTAGATATAATCTGCACCTCTGGAACTCATCTTATTTAGAAAAATAATTCCTTTGACAGCTTTGATAGGCTGAGCTGTACAGACAAAAAGTCAGGTAAGAAGAAGAGCCAGAAGTCCCACAGCCAATTTCTCTGAGAGGTAAAACTGGGTCTTGGTCTTTCTGAGTTTGGTTTTTATGACCACTGAGTACCCTCCTTCATCAAAGCATAGGAAAAAAGGTCACCTGGGTGGTGAATTACTTATGGCAAGCAAATGAACTAAAGAGCTTTAGTATCAGGATCTGAAAGCCCTTTTAAATCAGTTTTTATAAAATAAGAACATCTCTAGGGCAAACTATCCCTGGGAGATTTGGTACTATTCTGGGGGAAAATAACCTCATTGATCTGCTGCCTTGATCTGAATGAAGGACTCACTGTTTTTTTTTTCCCTCCGGTTTTAATAATTGGAAAAGGCCTGGCTGCTTTAAATTGGAGGAAACAGCTAATGAGGCATGCCACTGCCTTTAAAATGAAGGCAAAAAAGTTCCCTGCTGAGGCAAAAACCCAGATGGCAAGGGAAAGGAGAGGGAAGAGGCAACCAAAATACAATCATGTTCCTCCCCAGGGCTGAGCAGAAGGTTGGCCTGCATAGGAAAAATGGCTCTCTGGAGTATATTAATGAGATGGGAAAGAGGGAGGGAGCTCAAGCACGGAGGGTTGGGAAGCCTTCCTCCACTGCAGGTTCCATTGGTTACTGAACAGAGCAGCCTAGTCTGGGCACTGAAAAGTTCCTCCCCACCATGTTTCCTCCAGACCCACACCCCAGTTTGAGATTTCCACGTGAGTCACCAATGCTGAGGCCTCTTCAGCTACTGGCCCCCTGCTTTCTAACTTGGGCAGACAGCTCCCTTTGCCCATCTCTCATCTGAAGTGCTCACACTGGTCTTAAGAGTCTCCAAATCCCAATTCTGGCCATGACATGAAAAAAAAAAAAAATCACCTCTCATGTGATGAGGAAGGAACACAAAAGCATGAAAACCTATTTGACATTAAGAAAAATTAATGCAATCTGGAATGATGCAAGACTATGCTGATAGTACTTTGAGAGTCTCCCTGCTAGAAGGGCAGTTCCATCTTGCCAGTCTTTCCCTGAGGGAGGCACTCTGTTTTCTTTAGTCACTTTTGAACTGCTTACCCACCTGGAGATGTGAAATTTTAAATACTGAAGCAGTAATCAGCCCAGGTAGGGCTGGGCAGGTGAGTTATGAGCAGGGATGGCAGGCTGGGAAAAAGGAATTCCAGGCGATGGCCTCCAACACTCTCCAAGTGAAGAGGGGGCCCCTGGAGATGGCTTCCAACACTCTGTAAGTGAAGCTGGTTCACTCCTCACACCGCTCTCCACAGTTGCTCATACAATTTGAGTTCAGTCCAAGGAATGGTCTTTTTTTCCCCTCTGTTCCCAGCACTTTTATCAAGGTAGAAGTTAAAAAAAACAACAAAAAAAAACCCAAATACTAAAACTAAACAAAACTGGAAAACCAACCAACTGACCCAACAAAGGAACCGCAGGAATGATGTGACATGAGAGGAAATCCCTGCCCTTCATGCTGATGTCGCCCATGCAGACATCCTTCCTGCCGTCTGAACAGGACTTTCCCTGCTTCTTTGCCAGGCTGGAAGAATTTTGGCAGTGCTAATTGCCTGGCTCCAAACTCCCAAAAGCCTAAGGTTGGTCCTGTCACAGATTAATGTGGACTAAAATACACTAAAAACACTCTTTCCTTTGTATTGATTGTACTATAGAATATGTCACAGAGATAAGCCCCACGTTAGTACAGCTGGTTTGATTCAATTCTCTCCCCTTGTAAATATCCTTTGCTTAAACTTTCAGAACTCTTTCTCACTTCAAAGAAAAGCTCAAAAATCCTGCAGTGCTTCTTACCTGCTCGTAGAATCGGTTATGCGCAACATAAAACTTGGAGTCAAAAGATTCTTCTGTTACTAACACTTGTTGTCTTTCACCAATCTGTGGAAAGATGGGGAAGAAAAATAGATAAGGGCAAATACCCGAGAATTCCAAAATAAATGCCAACCTGGTAGTGTCCTGAACCCGTAGAGTCCTCTTGAATTTAAAGTAGACTGCAGATGGCTAGTTATTTCACAGCTAACAGTGTTCAACTCGGTGATTCACATTTCTTGAGAAACATAACTATGTGGAAATATAAAATTAGCATAGCATGAACTCTTTATTTTCTTATACAACTACCAAACAGAATTTGATCGTATTTCTTCCTTCAACATAAGTAAGATAATTAAGGCTTCTAAGACATACCAAAATCTAAATATCACTGTTTCTTGAAACAAAGTTGCAAAACAAGCTAGAACAAGCTGCTTCTAATCCAAATTCACGAAAATATTTTGGCAATAAGAAAGAATAGTAATAAACATTAATTTGAGTTATGAAGGATGTAACACTAAAGAAAATGCCTCCAAAAACTAGTCATTAGGCCCTTGCAGCTCAACATTTCACATGTTGCATGGAATTCTGAAGTTATGAATTCTCACAAGTATTTACTTATTATATACATTTTTCTGTCATCAGCAACTGTCTCTTTGCCACAATTTCATGTTCATTTATTTAATTTCCAAAAGAAAAAGCAAATTTATGGTAGTTAGGTCTCCATTTCTAATCTAAGCACCCACTTTTAATAACCAAGATGTTAAATCAGCCAAAATGATGGTTAGAGAAACGTGACTACCAAAAAAAAAAGAAAAAAAATTCTAACATTTCCAATTTTATTCCACAGTGAAATGCAGCATTTAATGTATCAATTGCTTTTTTAAAAAACAAGGTTGTCAAAATGTCTGATGCAGCAAACAGCTGTATGGAGTGACTGTGCCTAGAATTATTTTTGCCACTGTTACTTGATAATATAATCCCCCAAGCTGAAGCCCATTGGCAGGATGATTTTTTAAGAGATTCCTGTTCTCATTTGTAGGGACTTGTCACTATGTTCAGGCAGTTATCATTTAGGAAATGTAAACACAGCTGCACTAACCAGACCACCTAACAATTAAAAAAAAACAACCTCCCCCCATATAATGCCAATACCTAAATACACTATAATTTGCTGTCTAGTTTACTATCTCATTCAATATGCAACCCCTTAAGCCAAAGGTTGTAAGGTCTCTGAGATGATTCTTATTAAGACTTATTTCAGTCCCTGAAAAGCAATGAAAATTCCTGTACCATTATCTCTTTAAAAACTCAAATGGCCTAAAAAGGAAGTTCCTCCAACATCTATGTTGAGCCTCCCCGGCTCTATTTAATCAAAAAAGACTGGTGGATACTGGGTTTCCCTAAAGCAAACTCTTCCAGAGGAAATTTTGGGAATGTTTGCACACAGTTCACAGTGAGTTGCTTATGACTCAGGACAAGTATCTGTCAATGGTTCTTAAGGAAATCTGCAATTACACTTGCTCTAACATTAAGTTTTCAGGAAATTAACAACAATGTGAGGATGTGCAGCCACTAATGGCCTATGCTGCTTTTCTGCTCAAGTGAGAATTCATGTGAACAGTTGTAGCCACAGTTCTGGGCTATTCTATTTCATCTGGAAATAATAACGATGACAGTAAAATGTATACATAGAGTCAGAAAGACTAGCTATGTTTATGCAGAAGAGGCCCAGGCTTCCCAAAAATCACCACAGAACTATTTGTAGGTCAGTATTTAACTCTCATTTGCCAAAGGGGCTCAGGAGAACTGCTATGGTGGCAAACACGTTTCCAGTTACCTTGTTTGTACTCTCAGCATGGAAGAAGCCTTAAAGTTTCCAAAGGACATTGAGCAAAAGTGAAAAGTAGACAGCTTTTGGTTTGGTTCAAACCAAAAGCTGTTGCAATCCATACCTAGTTCCTAAAAACTATATTAAAAATAATGAAAGCTCTCAATATTTTTATGAAGTTGAAGTGAATATCAAGTACAACTGTGAAGTGAATGAACTATTTCAAATAATCTTAATCTTAAACGTATAGGAAGTTATAGAAGGTGGTGTCAACTATGCCTTGGTGACAATAAAGAAACTTGTGGGCTAAGCAAAGCAAATGTACATAAACCTCACATCTTTTTTTTTTCATTGTTGCTATTGGGGATAGAATGGAATCCAAGGTCTCACATATGCTAGGTAAGCATTCTGCCACTGAATTGCGTACTTGGCCCTCAAGTCCCCTTTTTTAAATGAACCAACTCCCTCTATACTTTCCGCTTGTTGCCTCCTGAACTCCACTTGATAACCCAGTGTAGTTAAAGGCTCTTGTAATCAAGATATACAGTAATCAGCCCTATGTGTCATGTCCTGAGAGTGCCTCTGATGTTAGAGTAAGGAAGTCCCAGTCCCAGAGGGAAAAAGCAGGGCTTCTGGAGGAAAGGGTCAAGCTATAGACATCCTTCAGCCACTTAAGACCACACTTCTCAATGACCTATTGTGCTAGGGGCAGAGCTAACCCACCAGAAGGGACCAGAACCTGTCTTACAGAATGAAGAGTACACTGTGTCCCAGCTGACCCTCTGCTGAGATTCAAACACTTCTACAGGCACTTCTCTATCCCTTATTGAACCTTGCCTGAGTCACACCCACCCTCAGGAATGCAAGGTTGCATCACTTTGGAAAACAGTCAAACAAAATCCTGCAAAAATAAGTGAAGCTGAAAATCATGGTTTTCATAAACTTCATGACTGGTAGCACAATATGATTGTTCAGCAGAGATGATTAAACTGTAGCTGTCATCACAAATCCACAGAATGTTCTAGAAGGTTGCTTTCAGAGAACTGTGAGATTCAAGGACAGAAAGAAAGGAATGGTCAGAAGCAGGAGCACCCAAAGATGAGGAAATGAAAGAGGGTTTTCAAAAATAGCAAACACCAGATATGTGGATAGGAAAGTGGGGAGGAGGACATGGGCCAGGATGGATTATTTTCAAGATGGAAGAACAGTAACTATGCCTTGGGTCTTCACTTTCCTCATCTAAACACTGGGTAGAAGTGAGATGGAAGAGAGAAGAGCTGAAGAGGAAGTGGGTTATACTGTTTAAAACTTTTCCATCCAAAGTTTTACAAGTCATCATTCATGGTAGGTATGTAGGTTTGGGGCTGTATGACCACAAGGGTTCCTGGGAACCAGGTGAAGGAAATTTTATCCTCTACATTCAGGCTCTCTCCAGCAGGAGGTGTGGCTCAAGCAGTAGAGTACCTGCCTCACAAGTGTGAACCCAAGTACCACCAAAGCAATCCATCAACCAATCGAGGCTGTCTCTTTTTTCTTGCGGTAAAGGTATGCTTAGAGCCCTTACAAATCATGGCCATTTTCTTGCTGCATTTAAACAGGTTGGCCTTTAATCCCCACCAAATCTCACAAAAGGCTACAGAGTGACCTGAAGTTTCCTTAAAGCCTGTTAGAATTTCAACAAAGCTCCCCTGCCCCGATTTTTTCCAATCCTAAGAAAGACGCCTCTTTTCCCTCTTATTTGTTTTATAAGTATACAATTTTATACTTGACAAGATCAAATGCTTACTTAATGTCCATAACAACTCAGAACTGAAGAGGTTGGCTTGGGAATCAAAGCCCCTGTTGTAGCATTTTTATGTGAAACTCAGTTCCCCTGTACAAAGCTTTAAGGTTTAGAGGATCTGTCAAAAAAATAACCTAGTTCTTACTCTCTGAAGCAAGAGATAATTCTGACCTATTGTTCCTTTACCTAACTCTATGGATGTTCTTTTGGAAGTCTTGGTACCTGTTTTAACAAGCTAAGTATACATTATAATTTATTTATCAAATCTCAGTGGAGAAAGTAATTTTTCCTAGGATGTACAAAACTTCAATTTAATCCATCTTAGCTTTAGCATAAAAAGCCATTTTGTGAAAAGGGAATTGTAAAATAGTCTTGTAAAACTATCCTGTTTCACAGAGTGGGTCACCAAACTGAAGGAAAGTACAGAAAAATCTGCGTGAGACCATGTGAGACTGGAGATCTCCCGGGCTGCTGAGCAACGTGGCTCTGGCCTGATGAGTGTGGCACAGCTGGCTGGGCCTTGGTGAGAAGAGGTGAGAGAAGCTCCTAAGCTTTTTTTTTTTTTTTTTAAGCACAAAGGCAGAAAATAAAGACTTTATTCCTCTAAACAAAGAAAGTGAGACAAATAAAGTGAGAACTTGGAGGGGGTTTAGCAATCTCTCTGATTTCAGAGAGGGAACCAAGGTGATTGCTCAGTGACAGTGGCAGAGAGAAGAAAAGGAAAACTTTGAACTGTTCCCCTGCTCTATGCCTCCTATTTAATTGCTAACTGTAGAAAACTTACAACATCATGGATCTAATTCTGCAGGTTATGACTTTTCCTTGTATAGAGAAACATCTGTGACAAACCAAAAGCAATGTTTTTAAAATCCAATTTCTGGGTAGGTTTTTCAGTGTGTTACATAATCAGCTAGCTGTCATTTGTGTCACATCTAGCTTAAAATTTCCCAAGTGCCTCAAGTTGTGAGAAACATCGGTTCTAACCATATGGTCCAGAGAATGTGGACAACACACACTTGCATTAAAGAAAGCAGCGGTTTCCAACAGAACTTGGTTGCTGAATGAATGCTCGATCAAGTACACTCTTTCCCATTTGTCCCAAAACAAACAATATCCTACAAGGCTATATAAGGATTTAAAGGAGAAACAGAAAAGAATTGTTTGAAGAAAGGCAGATGCTACCCAAATTAAACAAAGACATTAGGTATTTGGGCTAATACCTTTAACTCAGTAAGAAATGTTACTTGTATAAGTATTCTTTATATTAGAAAAAGCAAAAGGTTTCTCTTATACTCATATATGATTTTAAATATAAGCTTTGTATAAAGTTTATTTTTTTTCTTCACTACTTTTTCCTTTTCTTCTTCCCTTCATTTTAACTTTGAAAACCCAAGATGTGGCTCTGGAAAATAATGTCAATCTCTGAAGTATTGGGCTAGAAAAATTTTAGTATTT